CTCCTGTGGTTATACAAAGTTGTGCACAACAAAGGTGTGCATAACAAGTTGAAGAACTGTGGCATAGGGAAAGCCCACAGACACCCTTAGGTTTTCTTCCACGCACAAATTGAGAATCGGGTCCTCCACAAACAACTTCTGAGGGGCCTGCAGCATCAGAAGAATTCCCTTCCACCTCTGCTACAAAGGAAAGCAGAGAATTCAGCAAAAAACATTACAATTATATCCTTCTTCCTGTCCTTTGTTGGGCACAAGATATGCCTTTGGTAGGGACATTTGATGGGATGAAAAAACATCCGCATTATTCTTTCCCCCCCTCTCTTCCAGACATTAAATCAGTGCTGGAATTATGGGAATCTACACATTCATTATCGTTCCAGCTGGAATCAAAGCATGAGTGTATGAAATGTGGTATTCAACTTATTTTTTTCTGGGTTAAAATTCATGTGCAAACTAAATGTGATTGTCTGTTTAATCTATCTTTTGGACTGCAACTCAGATAATCAGAGGGTAAAAAGCATTACTTGTGCTGACTGAATGAAGGGAAAATTTCACTGACTTGGTATTGGCTTTAAAATCATACCAGATACCGGGACCTATAGAAAAGCAACTTTTCAACAAACAAGTTAATACCTGACAGTGAAGTCATCAGGTATCCAAGGTCCTGCTCCGGAACACGGGTTACTGATCAACCTGGGTCACTAAAAGTTCAGGTTGTCTGTCTCCTACTTTGCACACAGCATGGCTGCTTCAAACAATGCTTCTGTAGCTGAAAAACATAAATATCTTGTGCTTGGGTTTGGTCCAGGTAACACCAGCAGGTCTGTCTGACCACAGTTTATATATAACATAGAACAGTAAAGGAAAATTTTGTCTGTCTTCACCCCTTCAAAATATTAATTGAAACACTGACATTTTACTCCCAGTTAGGCTACAAGCTTTTATGAGTTAATAACAACACTCTTTCTTGAAATACCCAGGAGTCTAGAGCAGAGATTACAGCTGTTCAGAGCTTTTAAAAAATGTTTCAGATTTCTCATGCATATAATCTTAAGTTTCTCCTGGGTGACACTGCATTTTGATTCATTGTGTAGATTAAGCAGGTGCCGTAGGAGCTGAGGTGAACATCACATGGTAGATTCACCAGCTCTGTTGTGTTTTAAAGAAAATAATAATGGAATGCTGCTATAAAAATCACAGGATCACACATGTCAACTGGAATACAGCACTAAGTGCCATATCTGGTCTTCCCTTAACCACCTCCAGGGATGATGGTTCCACCACCACCCTGGGCAGCCTATTCCAAGGTCTAACCATACTTTCTGTGTTGAAATTCCTCCTGATGTACAACCTCCCGATGTACAACCTACACCTCCCCTAGCCCGGTGTAAGACTGTGTCCTCTTGTCCTGTCACTGGTTACCTGGGAGAAGAGGCTTACCCCCATGTGACTGCAGCCTCCTTTCAGGCAGCTGTAAAGTGATGTCTCTTGAGCCTCCTCTTCTCCGGGTTAAACAACGACAGCTTCCTCACTTGCTGCTCACAGAACTAGTGTTCTAGACCAGCTTTGTTTCCTTTCTCTGGACTTGCTCCAGCACCTCAAGTGTCCTTTGTGGACTGAGGAGCTCAGAACTGGACACAGTACTTGAGGTGTGGCCTCAACAGTGGAGTATAGGGCAACTGCTGTGTATAGGGGAAAATGATGTATCTGAGCAAGAAATACCACCTTGAAAGCAAATCATACTTGCAAATGAGGAGTTTTCTCAGAAACACCTGGCGAGGTGAGGGATGGGAAGAGCGTGAAACAATAAATGGTAAATTCCTGGGAGTTTATAAGAGCTGCCAATTAAAGGGCCGGGAAGACAGCCCCAAAGCGCCGGGCTTTGGCCGGGCCAGGCTCTCCG